TTATTCTACCTACCACAGGCTCGGAGCAAAGGGAGAGGGGAACAAGTCTCTTCCTATCTCTTCTGTGGATCCCAGCAGGGGGTATGCCTAAGAAATGACTGGCTTGGGGACATCCTAACCATTAAGGGCTCCCCACAAAGTCCATCTGCTGGTTCGGGACTTCTGGCCTCCATTAAAACTCTTCCGTCTAGGTGGGGCCCGACTGTGTGAATGCACTGCATGGTGCCAGGAGGGCTGCTTTGTTCCACACAAATCACAAAGCCAAGTGGTGCCCTGGGCTCTAGGAGCTCTTGTGACATCTCAGCCAGGAAGGAGGGTTCAACTTGGCAGGCTGGCCAAATACCAGGTTGCATAGTTACATCCTCACGCCATGGGACTCACCCTGAGTGCGGCCTCCCATTTCAAGCTGAAACCATCAGGGCCTGCACTCTACATACAGACAGTAGAGTCTGTAAAGTGACTCTAAATCGTTAACTGAGAGAGGCAATTTCAAGTAACTAAAACATTCATAATTTGGAAGTAATGAAAAACTTGTCATAAGAAGAAAAAATGTCTCTCTTTCCTGCTTGGCTTCTTGGCACAGTGCCGGAGGGCAATTCTCAGGCTGACTTTTTAGCACGATGTTTGTTTTTTTCCTTTTGGAAAGATTCAAGTAATATGGTGTTAGCGTCTAAATTAATAAAAGCCATTGTTTTAGCCATAACGAGAAACAAAGTTCTGATACATACTATGACATGGATGAACCTTGAAAACATTATGCTAAGTGAAGTCAGACACAAAAGGACAAATATTGTATGATCCTACTTACATGAAATAGCTAGACCAGGCAAGCGTACAGAGACAGAAATTAGATGTATGGCTATCAGGAGATAGAAAACGGTAGATGCGGAGTCATTGCTTCATAGGGACAGAGTTTGTTTCGAGTGATGAAAAACTTTCAGAAGTAGATAGTGGTGATGATTGCACAACCCGGTGAATGTAATTAATGTCACTGAATGGCACCCTTAAAAATGGTAAAATAGCAAATTTTATTATATATATATTTTACCACAATGAAATTTAAAATAAAATAAAATTTAAAAAGCCACTGGGTTCAATAAGCATTCTGAACTGTTTAGAGGAAAGTGACCAAGTAATTCCAAAGTCCTCCTCCCGACCGTCAAGCTTGATTTCTGTCTGGTGTCCACCTTGTGACACTTAGATGCTTTGACTCCTTTTGGACCCAGGGATGCCATTTAGGGGGAGCATCTATTGCTTAGTCCACTGCCTGCCAAGGCACAAAGGTGATAATGGGAAGGGTGCTGAGCACAGTGAGGCTCTGGAGTGACAAAGGAAGAGACTTAGAAGTGGAAACTTTCCCAGAGCTGTGCTTTAACTTTGCTGGAGTTCAAGGACTTTTGATGAGTTCTGCGGGGATAGCAGTGCACATAGGAACTGGTGGAAGTTCAATAATCCATTTAACTGTCTGTTAGTCCAGTGTCTTGGACCTCCTTGTCATAGCTCTCCTTCCTGCCAGGCTGCCCGTTCACAGACCTCTGTGCCAAAGCTCCTTTGATTTGTCTGTTATCTGGGGCTTCTGACTTGTAACAAGCCACCTCCATCTGTCCCTTTTGATCCTCCCTTCTCAGCTGGCTGGCTCTAGTTTGCTGGAGTAGCCACTGATCACTATCAGGAGAAAAGTGGAGCCCAGGGGTGGCAACCCCGAAGAGTGACAGGAGATCAAGGGCAGGCTTGCATTCTGCATTTACTATCTGCATTAATTATTTCTCAGAAGCCAGCTGGTGACATACAAGACTCACAAAATGACATGGTCTCTATCTCCCAGGCCCCTAAGGTACACATTCCTATCAGTTACTTTTAATAACCCTGAAGATACCCCAGCCACATCCTGTTGCAAACAGCCCAGGTCTGCCGGGTAGGTCAGGGCCCTTTAAGGCTTTACCCCAGAATAGCTCGTCTCTGGTGTTGCACTGCTGTAGCTAATGATTTTCCTATTCACACAGTGATCTGCCTTTCCTATGCCAGCCTTCCCCACTGCTGAGGTCTAATCAGATCTAATCTCCCCCTACTTTTCCTATTTCCTCTTTGGAGCTCATGTAGTCTATTGCTTGTTTATGAAGCCTTAAAAGGATTCAGTCATCTTTTCGTAAAGAACTTCCTGAAAATAGCTCTGAACTTTCTTGTTTCAGGTTAAAAGGGAAGAATTCTGGGAAGGTGCTGGGTTTTCTGCTCTTTTTCACTTTGTCTAATTTGAATTCTTTAAAGAACATATTTCCAATTACAAGAACAAGGACAATATTACCCAAATTTCAGCTATCTGCATACTATCTTTTTTTTTTTTTTTTTACATAGCTGCATACCATCTGTGCTATTCTTTCTTTGATATTTCACATTGAATTGACTCAAGTCTACTCAATCCTTACCCTAAGCAATATTTGTAAAATCATGGGTTTGATGTGCTAGTCATAGGTTTTTTTAAGTATCAAAATTAATATGTAAAAAATATATTTCCTTGTGTACCACCTAAAATTATCTCCCATACCATTAGTGGTGCTAGTTCCCCACTCTGGAAAACATTCATTTGGAGAAGAGTTTTCATAAGAGATTAACATGAAGAACTTTACAGAAACAAATTCACTACTGTTTCATCTTAGTCAAACATACAGGACTACTATTATCTGTTAAGGATAATTTTGGAGACTAAAGAAATACAGCATATTCCAGAACAATGCAAAACATCTCACTATCTACAGGTCAGAATTTAAAATAGCAAAAATTTTATAATCATAATAAAATCCTATTTTTAAAAAGCCATCCTATTTTAAAAAAAAACACACATTTGAGTTGTTTCTTTAAAATGAGGTCAGTTATCCATTCAGTCTTTATATAAATTATCGCGTCTGAGCCTTCCAGTCTAGGGAGAACCAGAAGACATTGTTGTCCATTTAGTTCAACCACATCCTCTGAACTAGAACAGCATAACAAATGCCATCCAGCTTTCCAGCCCCACCCACAAATCCTCCACCTCCAAAAGCAGAAATAAGCTCAGCTGTGATCTATAATAATTCCATTAACCCTGCACTGAAGCAGGGTTAATGGAATTATTATACTGCCTAGTGTAATTATTAAACAAATTAAACAGCCTAGTACAGATCCTTCCTCTGCTGCAAGGGGAAATGTACCTTGTAAGGTCTGCATTTTATGCTAACAGATTTACTAACCAACTACATGTTTACCCGAGAACACAAATAAGCAAATAAGTTGGCAAACTGTGAAATTTCCAGTGGGGGTGTTACAACAACTGCTTTTTTTCTTTTCTAATAAGATTTACTATAAAGATTTTAGTTTCAGAGAGGTTTGGAAACAGTAGTTCTCAAATGGTTCATCTTGCTATGGAGTTTTCAAACCAGTACTTTCTTTTCTTAATTACAGGAAAATAGCCGACTGGAGCTGGCTGGCACTCTAGTGGGAAGCCTTTTGTCATCCCTGATAAAAGTCTCACCACCCTGAAAACTGGGGGGACTTTGAAAGGCTATGTTCAAGTTAGTGGCAGGGCCGGGGCCAGAACCAAAGCTCCTGACAACTAGTGCAGCTCTGCACCTCCCCAAGCTTCCCAGCCTTCCCTGAGGGAATATGAAGACTCCAGTCAGCAATTTCACCATGTTAACGATGTCTGTCTTTTTAGTGTGTTGCCTTATTTTTTTGAAGCCAGAGAACTATAGAAGTTGCCTACCTTTTTAAAAAGTACATCCTGACAAGACAGCAGCAGGAAGCTGTACTTGTGCTAATATTTTGCTTTCTGACACTTGGGGTTTGTAGTTAGGTGCCTTCCGTTGATTTTCAACTCACAGTGACCCGATGTAACAGAGCAGCACTGCCCCATAGGATTTTCCTGGCTGTAATCTTTATGGGAGCAGATAGCCAGGTCTTTCTCCTGCAGAGCCACCAGAAGGATGGGTTCAAACTGCCAGCCTTTTGGTTAGTAGCCAAGCACTTAACTGTTGTGCTACCAGGACTCCTTACTTAGGGTTTAGCACACAAAAAGCATACAGTCATTTCAAACCACTCACATCTAAATCCTTGTTTTCTCTCATCAACCCAGATGTGTCAAGAGGTCAAGTATGTCAGAAAGTCAGATCAATAAAGCATAATGAAATCTAGAAATACATCATGTTACAGCTGGAAGGGATCTTGGAAATCACAAAGTCCAAGTCCCTCCTTTAGCAGATTGCTCAAAAAAGAAAACCAAAAAACACACCAAATCCGATGCCATTAAGTCGATTCCAATTCATAGTGACCCTACAGGACAGAGTAGAACTGCCCCACAGAGTTTCCAAGGAGCCGCTGGTAGATTCGAACTGCCAACCTTTTGGTTAGCAGCTGACTGCGTAAAAGGAGTGGAAATTTGGGGACGAATATTCCTTTTTCTTTATCATAGTATTTTCTGAGGCTCTTTTCTTAACAATGGTGGCAATACAGACTGATCAACTCCTATCATGCCAGCTCCTCAGCATGTGGTATGTAAGCCTATATCCTCACCCCTTGCCTCCTATTACCAGGCCTTATGGTGAAGCCTACTCCTCTAAGGCCAAGAAAGCTTCCTTGTGCATATAGACTTGTGCGTCACCAGGAACTCTTTTCCAAGGTGCAATACCTAGAAAGCTGGCTAATGAGAGAGGAAGTTAAGCAGATCCCTGGGGCCTGCTGAACTGACAAAGATGGCAGTAGCTACAGCCAAAACAACAACAGAAACGACCCACGACTCAACGACCTGTGTTCTCATTGTCAGAGGCACCACTTACACAGAAGCAGATCTCAAGAGCCCTTCAGCAGCCCTCTCCCACCTACCACGCCAAACACTCCAGGCAGACATGCTTCGAGGCCTCCCAACCTCTGTGGGTTAAGGAAGCATCTGTCCACTCTCACTATCACCACCCTCATTTCTCAGTACAATCTGGGATGGCCTCTGCATTAGGCCAACCCCGAGGGGAGCAGCTTACCTGTCCGCATCTCCAAGGCCCAGGGAGGTATTTCGTTGCAGAGTCTCCCGCACCACAGCCATCCCATCAGGGAGCCGGTTCAGGCGACGGGTGTAGAGGCCAAGTCCACCATCCGTCATATACCTTTAAAAGGAGAAGAGGACTACGTAACATGTGGTCAAAGTCCTATGCGGTCTTGTCACTCATATCCAGAAGGCTGCATGGCTGTCTTGTGCTCTATGAGGAAGGCACTGAGGATTCCCTGAAGCTCTGTCGATAATCATAGCCCAAAGAGAGCTCTGCTGCTGACTGAACCTAAAGGACCGCCAGCTTGCTAGGCAAAAAAGAACTCCACTTAATTAACCCAAACTCACAGGAATCTATGAAGCAGAAGGGAACTAGTGAATAAAATTGACTACCAGATGCATTCGTGACTTTTTTTTAATGTCAGTACTTACATAAGCAGGTGTTTTATCTAAGCAATGTGAACGGAATTGACAAGTCATTAGCAAATCAGAGAGAAACACACTACAGAACAGGGCAGCAGAGAGAGCAGGCAAGCTTTTAAGAAAGGCACAAACAAAGGTATAGAGAATAGAAAAACCACCTTGGAGCCCTGGCCCCACCATCCCACCTATGCCATCATGGGAAAGCCACTTCTCTGGGTCCTGGGTTTTTCATCTAAACGGGAGGAATATCATGGCCTTCCTCACCTGCGTTGCAAGGTGGACATGAGAAGGTAGTGAGATAAGGAATATGAAAGTGCTCTGCAACTTTAAAAGACCATATAACAAATGGAAGACATTATCGTGGTTACCAGCATCCTAAATTATCTACAACTGTAAATTTCACCTTTGATACTAACGTCTTAAGGAGTGTCTTGGTTACCTAGTGCTTTTGTAACAAAAAAATACTACAAGGGGATGGCTTTAAAGAACAGGAATTTATTTTCTCATAGTTCAGGAGGCTAGAAGTTGGAATTCAGGGTGTGACTCTAGGAGGAGTTCCTTCATCTGTAGCCCCTGAAGTTCCTTGGCATCTGTCTTCCCCTTGTGTGTGTGTTGCTGTGTCTATTTTAGTCTTTGCATAACTCAGAAGTGATTAGGGTTAGGATCCACACTGGTATGACCTCATTAACATAACAAAAGAAAGTCCTATTTCCAAACAGGATCACATTCACAGGTACCAGGGCCAGGAATTTAATGCATATTTTGGGGGAATACAATTCAGTCCATAATAAGGAGGTTGTCACAAAACTATCTGAAAAACATTAATGTTAATTTCCTCCTTTGAGCAGAAAATAGCCTTGTGGTACCACCAAGAGATCTGAAAATTAGGGTTGCCCAGGAGAGGGAAGACCCCTAGAACTTTCTGTATAGACAGCCAACTGTCCACCAACCTGACCAGTTCTTGAAAACTTAGCCAAAATAGCAGGCAGTCAGGTCCAAAGTAGCTGGGCCTCATATCCACCTTGGCCCCTTCACAGACAGCACCCTATGACAGAGATGGTTCTGTCATTACCTTCACCTTCAGAGAACAGGAAGGCAAAGCAAAACTTGAGCAGAGCCAGAAATCAAACTCGGGTCTCTTAATCCCTGCATGGGCCCCATCAGATCAACCTGTAAGGTGTCTGAAATACACGTTTTGCATTTCAAGTTAAATAACAGGTAGTAAGAAGACCACCGAATGATGATTGTCTTGAAACAGAGTTAGCTGAACCAAATCAACGACTGTTTTGCTGCTTTTGGCCTTTTAGCTTTAGCACATATGGGGTAGATGTTGAAGGTTCCTAATCCTTGCATTTCTTCCACCTCTAGCTTGGGACCATCTTGGGATATAGTCCAATAGGAACAGAGTTATGAGATCATGTGCAGTTCGCCCAGAACCAGTAAATTAAAGTTAGGGATAAAGAAGACAGTTGAAGAAGTTCTCACTAGAGCCACCTTATGTGAGAAGTAACTTCCAGTAAGGGCCAAAGGAACTTTCCCTAAGGGTAGTGCTATGGATTGAATTATGTCCCCTGCACCCCCACCCCCCAAATATGTGTTGTAAATCCTAACCCTTACACCTGTGGTTAGAATCCCATTTGGAAAAGGGTTTTCTTTGATATGTTAATGAGGCAGTATTAGCATAGGGTGTGTCTTAAATCAATGTCTTTTAAGATATAAAAGAGCAGATTAAGCAAGCAAGTTCAAACGCTGAGAAAGACATACCCAAAGAACCTAGGAATAGAAGCTGAAAAGAGACAAGGACTTTCCCCAAGAGCGGTCAGAGACAGCGAGCTTTCCCCTAGAGGCGGCACCCTGAATTCAGACTTCTAGCCTCCTCAACTGTGAGAAAATACTTTGCTGTTTGTTAAAGCCACCCACTTGTGGTATTTCTGTTACAGTGTACTAGGTAACTAAGACAGGCAGCTTCCAGGATAATATGTCTGAACTGAGCATTCTGATGTTTGCTTCCTCTTCCCCATTTATGACATTAATGATCACAGATGATGCAATGCCAACATCATAAAAAATCTGTTGGAGTCAGTGAAATCAGTTGTTTGCGGTTGTACCGACAAAACAGCATAGCAGACAGAAATCTTCACTAAACTGTATTACTTTAAAAACAAAAACACACTCTGTGAATATATTTTTTAAAAAACCACTGAATTGTATACTTTAAAATGGTGAATTTTATGGTACCTGAATTGTATTTCAATAAAAAAATTAAAAACAAAATATAAAACAAAAAACAAAAAAAATTACCACAGACATAGTTAAGTAACTATTTGTGTAATTACTTTTTAATGCTTGTCTCCCACACTAGACAGTAAGCTTCTTGAGGGCAGGGACTAGTATTTTGATCAAATCTATATCCCATGTGCCTAGCACACACTAAGTGCTTACTAAATACTATCTTTGTAGCATGAATGAACACATGAATGAATGAAACCCAAAGACACAGCCACAGGATAGGGTTTAACAAAAACTCTATTGCAAGGACACTGATTATAGGTTTCCTTTCTCTTAAATGTCAGCAAACTTGACATCTAAGTCATATGGCAAAGCAAATTAAACACTCTGTCTGCCTATCTGCCTGCCCATCCATCCATCTATCCATCCACCTATCCAACAGATGTAGCGATTCCTGACTCAGGGTCTAGCAGTGGACTATGTGTATTAGTCCTGTAACTAGCATGAGGAGAAAAAAAAAAAAAACCTACACCAAAATGTATTAACTTTGCCAGAGGATGGACTTTCTAGATCAAATGTCCTTTCAAGGAGAATTCAGTGGAATCTTTTCAAAACACAATCTGTTGCATCATTAAGCAAGGCAGCTAATTTCCATTTTAGCGAAGTCTGCCCAGCCAGATAGATAAACACAAACTTTTCAACTGGGGAGATCTTGTCAAAGGACAAACAAACTAATTTTAGCATTCATTTCCCTGCTGGATTTTTATTGCTGGTGAAATCACACACAAGATTGAGCAATTACACGCACTTGGGCATGTGGATGAGGCCCACACATACCCCTGGCTTTCTGTAAGGCCGGAGAGCAGAGCCTGGTGAACATCCCGGAGATGGAATGCTGAGCCGTGCTGCTGCCCCTAGCCCAATAGTGTGCAATGTGATCGTACCCAAAAAATGACAACCCACGAAGCTGGGACGGTCCTGGAGAGATGGGGCTGAATGTGCCGGCTTGGCTTGTCAATTGCTGCTGGGAATCCTGACTTGGTTTCGGCAGAAAGAAAGCGAAAGGCAAAAACAAATCTGGATCCTCTGCCTTTTTAAAGGCACTAAGAACTGAAAGCCAGGGAGTTGAAAGCCCCTAGTCTGACAGATAATCTAGTTTCAATTGCAAGTCAACTTCATTCACTGTGTGTGTGTGTGTGTGTGTGTGTGTGTGTGTGTGTGTGTGTGTGAGAGAGAGAGAGAGAAAGAGAGAGAGAGAGGCAGAGAAGACAGACTGAAGAGAGGGAGAGAGAAGCGGGTGAGGAAAACAAGTTTATTTCTTCTCCCAGAGGTTTACAAAAATGTATTGAACCAAGTATTTTTATAATATTCTTCAAAATAAATTCTTTTGTTTATCTCTCACCAGGGGATAGCACAGCACTGGAGACAGAATCGTCACTAGAACCAGCCTCACTCTCAAGAATCTAATCTAAAATATTGATTTCTAAATTATTATCCACCAATTACAGTAGTCTGATTTAAAAACAACTCTGTACATATTTTTAAATAACTCTTCTAGTTTCAATGAAAAATATATGTTTTTGTTGGATCAAACTTGTATAGGAATTGGTTACCGAATAAATGAATATAGATGGCCTTAATAAAGTTAGCCCCTTAAGAAAGTGTAATGCACAGAAGGAAGCGGTCATTGGTGTGTTCGCCTGAAATGATGGCCTTTTCCCAGCAGTGTTAAAAGGCTTGTGCTCCTGAAGGCTCTGAGAGGCAGGGAAGTGATGGCCTCTCTCATCTTTTGGAGGCATTATAGGAGACTCACAATGAGTGGAGATGAAATGACTTGCCCGAGGTCACAAAGAAGGAGCCAACTGATCCAGGGACTGATCCCAGAGCACCAGTGCCACACTTTTCTCCTCCTTGGGGAAATAAATAATTAGTGCTGGGGCTTAATGAGGTGCTGGTAACATCCTAAAGTTTAGTTGGTGGGTTCCTAACTAAGCTGCCAAGTTTCTGAACAATTTCCATATTATCCTTCCCAAGTTCTACAGCGATGGGAGGAGGGGGCTCTCTGACTCCACTTTCTGCAGCTTCCCCAGAAACCCCCGATGCAGAGAGTGGGGGCCTCTGCTAAAGAGACAAAGTGTCTGGGGGTGCTTATCTTGCTGTTCAAGGCTAGGGCACCTTAGGATGCTCCACACTTTAAAAGCAGGCCTTTATTTCACAGGTTGTGTTACAATGATACACTACAAAGCTGGAAGCAGGAGAGCATCAGAAAGATCAGGGTAAAAGTGTCTCTTCTCCCCTTGCTAGCCGAGCAGTCTTGTACATGCTATTATTAATAAGAACTAACAGTTATACCATCATGTAGATAGCACAGGACAGGGCAATGTTTTACTCTGTTAGACATAAATAAGGTCGCCATGGGTCAGAGCCGAGACTTGACGGTAACTAACAACAGTTACTGAAAGTTTG